ATAGGCCAAAAGAAAGGAGAAACAGGACCCAAACAAGTCCGAAACCCAGCAGGGCAGACATTATGTCTTAAAGTTCCAAAATAATCTTCTTTGACTCCAAGTCCTGCATCCTGGACACAACTGGGCACCTGGGCCCCCAAAACCTCAGGCAGCCTCATTCCCACAGTTCTGCCAGGTGCAGCCCATTGGGCTGTGCTGGTGCCTGCAGCTTTTCCAGGCTGGTGTTGCATGTTACCAGTGGCCCTGCAGTTCCAGGGTTCTGGAGGCAGCCCCACTGCCTTGGCTATACTAGACATTTCCCTGGTGGGGGCTCTCTGTTGGGGCTCCAGCCCCACTTTCCTACTTGGCATTGCTGTAGTAGATGCCCTCTGTGGTGGCTCCGCCCCTGCAGCAGGTCTCTGCCTGGGCTTCCAGGCTTTTCCATACATCCTCTGGAATCTGGGTGGAGACTGCCACACCTCCACTGCTCTCACATCCTGCCAACTATGTCAATTATAGAGCCACTGCAAATGTCTGGAATTCTGCCTATGTCGCCAATTGTTGGGCTCCACGACTTTGCCAGTTGTGGAGCTGGGGCTTTCCAAGGGCCTTTTGGCTGGTTACCTAGCTCATAGACCTGCGTGAAGGGGTCTGGTGACCCAGCCTTGCATATGCAGTGTTTGTGACCCAGTCTGTGAACGGGCTTGAGGGGACTGTGAGCTCCAGACCCAGCCTTGGTTCAACAATCAGCCCTGTCAGGGCAGAATTACAGGCAGGTAAAAGAGCCCAACAACTGGCATGGTTGCCTAGCTTTACAACTGGAATCACGAACAGGATTAAGAGCGCTACAATTGGCAGTGCTGACAGGATTAAAGACATTAGCCTTGGCTGTGGCTCCACAAATGTAAACAACAAAGATTTTTGTTTGTTTGTTTTAAAGTTATTAGGGCAAATCCATGTAAGAGTTGTAAATAGGAATCTGAGGATCAGCTAATAATTTGATTAATTTAAATAGATTTCTCTTTTTCAATTTTCCATTATGTGCTAATACAGAGAGAAAAATAATTTCAGTGTTTTCTATTAATTTCCTTGAGACAAACCCTGTCAAACAAGGAGATAAAACAATTTTGTAAAATCAGCTTCAATTGCACAATAGCATGCATTACATCTCTTGTTCTTCCAAATTTATCTTGATTCAATGTTTGCATTCTTTGGTTTCAACTTTGACTGACATTGATCTTTCTTCCCAAATTTTCAGGTACATTTTTAGTATGACTGTTTTTTGTTTCACAAAAATTTTTTGTACATCCATTGTGTATTTTTTTGTACATATTTTTACTTTGAACATATATGTGTGTGTGTGTGTGTATCTAGTCACTGTAAAATATGATCAACTTGTAGTGTAGTACATATAATTGACCACCACTGGCTATTAATGAGGTAGACATTTTAGTGTTGTTCTGTCCAGTGATTCCTTTCTGGTTTCAAAGAAATAGTATTTAGACAGTAGAGTAAAAAATTTGTAAAGCTTACTTAAAATGTCACTTATTCTTTAATTAATGTGTTTATTCTCTTACTCAAAAACAGTTATTAATGTATATAAATACTGTACTGCCAAATGTTCAAATTTAAGTATTAGTACAATGTGTCCTAATATTAAGGATTGTATTACATTGTGGGTCATTCTGAAATATACATACATTTTTATGCAATGTTACACCATAATGTTAAAACAACAAAAGGGATTAATTTCATCAACAAATGAATTCCTTAAGTGCAAGCTTCTCATATTCCTAATTACATCATTTCAAGAGGATTTTGAGCATGGCTCTCTAGCATCTGCAAGGGACATTGAGTCTTCCTGAAGAAGATGTTAATTGAATTTAAATTTGGTGGGGTGGGATGTGAGGGAACAGAACAGAACAGAGGAGAGCAAAATCACAAAGCTAGAAATATTAGTGTGATTTGAGTAGGAAATAGCAAACAGCAGCAGAAGAAAACACTGATCTGACAGAATCCCATCCATGCTTCAGTCAAAGAACATTTGTCTTTTCTACTTAGAAAATTTTCCTGATCTCCTACAATGTTGTGCTTAGTTGTCCTTTCTATCTACTCCTGTATGACCAAGATTTTGTGATGACACAATAAGAGGTCTTTAAAGAGCATTATTACTAAAATACCCATCTTTTGTTGCTTTGCTATTTCCATACATTGCCTTTGTCTGGTAGGTAGGAAAACTGAATAAGGAACAACTTTATATCTATGATTTATCCACTATCCCAACAATGTTTAACTATCCTCAGTAATGACTGGAAGTTTATTCTGGGAAGAACATTTAACAAATACTATAAATGAACATCAATCAGGTATGACAAAGGCTAAGAATGAGGCATCCTTAAAAATGAGAACTGAATCCAGTATCCATGATGAAATGTGAGATTCCCACTATCGTTCTATTGCTCAACTCCAAGAACACTGGCAGCCTGTCATACATGCCTCCAGCATGTAGATTGATGGCATCTTTTCTAAAAAAAATTGAAAGTCCCTGAGGAAAGACTTATGAACACTGATAACTAAGAACATCTGCAATGAAGGAAAGAGGTCCCTACAATCTCACTCTCACTAAATCCTTCCAGTTGATCCTGACAGTTGACTCAGAGTTTCGAATCAGCTCTCTAATGTGTTCTTATTAAGTCTGAATTAGTACTCAAATATAAGCAGACATCTGGGAAACAGATACAAAATAAAAGACTAAAAACAAAGTTATAAAAAATGTTATTAAAACTTGAAGTTATTGAAATATATACATAAGGCAGAATAAATGTTTATCTAAATACATATCCATTAACTTAACTTGGCTCGTTGTTTTAAGTAGAACAGTTATAATTATATCATCATGGAGGTTAAGATGAATATATCTACCATGTCTACATTAACATTGCCTCTTCTGTAGAATCCAGGATTTAAACCCACAATAATTTTTCTGTATGCTGTATCTTTATGTCTTTAACATTTGAAATACTGAAAGGAGAAAATATTAAATGGTCCATATTTGAGATGAATAGATTAGGAATATGATGAAATTTGTATGTATTGGAACTCATGTGGAAATTTGATCCCCAATGTGGCAGTTTTGGAAACTGACTGAGTCATGGGGGCGGATCCCTCATGAATGGATTAATGCTCTCCCTAGGTGGGGAGATTAATGAGTAAGTTCTTGCTCTATTAGTTCCCACAAGAGCTGGTTGTTTAAAAGAACCTGGCACCTCCCCCCCCCTCTTGCTTCCTCTCACCATGTGATCTGTCTGTACCCACTGGCTGCCTGCTGCTTTTTTTTTTTCCTTTGCTTTCTTATTCATTTGTTCACTGGAGTGGCACTTTTAATTTCCTTAATGAACTTTTACTTTGTATTCACAGCTGACTAAGTGGTGCAAGTTGCCTTTCTTGGATTTCGACACACCTTTCTCACTACGTTTAATCATTTCTAGCTTTTGATTTAAAGTGAAAGACATGTGACTCTTCACTTGCACACTTTAGGGTCATTGTAAGGTTATTAACTGGCCTAATTTCAATGTTGTTGTGTCTTAGGGATTAAGGAGCCCAAAGGAGAGAGAGAGAGAGAAAGAGAGAGAGAGAGGCTGGTTAATGGAACATCAGAACACACATAATATTTATTGTTTAAGATCAATTTCTCATATGGGTGCGGCTCACCATGTCCCACAAAATTTCAACAGTAACATCAAATATCATTGATCACACATTAACATTACAGATGCAATGATAATGAGAAAGCTTAAAATATTGAGTTAATTACTAAAATGTGATACAGAGACATGAAATAAACACAGGCTGTTGGAAAACACTCTCGATACATTTGCTTGATGCAGGGTTGCCACGACCTTCAATTTGGAAAAGTGCAACATCTGAAAAGTACAATAAAGCCAAGTACAGTAAAGCGAGGTATACCTGCAACTCAGACTCCTCAAACACCTGAATAAAAAGTCTTTGCTGGTAGATTTTTAAATCTATTCTCTTACCTTAGCAGTCATCATTTATAAAAACCCTTTCTTTGAGTCCATACAATAGATGTTTAAAGAAACCAACTCAGTAGAAAAACCAAACTTAAGAAAGAATGCTGATATATCACACAGCTTTCATTTTGTCCTGCTTCTATAACTCAGTACATGGAAGACTCTGAACAAGGCCTTTTATCCTCTAATGTGTTATTCCTAAGTTATGATACTATGGGGAAAAAGTGGTTTGCATTATAGAATTTTAGGATTATTACTGAATTAACAAATAGAATGTGCCACCTACAACAGCTCGTGTTTCATAATAAACTTTCAATAAATGTAAGTAGCAGGAAAAGAATAATGAAGACACTGAATTATCCCTAAATTTGATGGCCCTAGATAAGTTAGTTTCCAGGATTGTCATAAAAAAGGTGATTGAAAATAGCAACGTTGAATATTTTTCCAAGAGCAATAAAGCCAAGTATACTAAAGTGAGGCGCATCTGAAATTCAGAATCCTGAAGCCCCTGAGTAAAAAGTAGTCATTTTTGGTAGATGCTAAAACCTGATCTCTTACCTTAACAGTTGTCATTTATAAAAACCACTTCTCTGAGTCTATGAAATAGAAATTTAAACTAACCAACTCTTTAGCAAAACCAAAGATAGGAAAAAGTCTGTTATATCACACAGCTTTCATCTTGTCCTGATTCTTTAACTCACTGCATGTAAGACTGTGAACAAGGTCTTTATTCCTCTAATGTGCTATTTATAAGTTATGATACAAAGGGATAAAATGGTCTGTATTATAGAATTTTAGGATTACTTACTGTATTAACAAATAGAATGTGCCACGAATCACAGATCCCATTTCAAAATAAATATCCAATATATGTAAGTAGCAGAAAAAGAATAATCCCTTAATTTTATGGCCCCAGATAAGCTAGTTTCCAGTACTGTCACAAAGGTGATTGAAAATAGCAACGCTGAATATTTTTCCTCACAGTGAAGGATGTTCCCAGATCTCAGAGATTCCAACAGCTCTAAGTTCCAGGTCTCTGAGTTCATCCTCCTGGGATTCCCAGGCATTCACGGCTGGCAGCACTGGCTGTCCCTGCCCCTGGCTCTGCTCTACCTCTTAGCTCTCAGTGCCAACATCCTCATCCTGATCACCATCAACCAAGAGACAATGCTACACCAGCCCATGTACCACTTCCTGGGCATCCTGGCTGTGGTAGACATGGGCCTGGCCACCACCATCGTGCCTAAGATTTTGGCTATCTTATGGTTCAATGCTAAGGCCATCAGTCTCCCTGAGTGCTTTGCTCAGATGTATGCCATACATTGTTTTGTGGCCATGGAGTCAGGCATCTTTGTCTGCATGGCTATAGATAGATATGTAGCAATTTGCCGACCACTACACTATACCTCGATGATTACTGAATCTTTTGTGATCAAAGCAACTGTGTTCATGGTACTCAGAAATGGTCTTTGTCCCATCTCAGTGCCTGTGTTGGCCGCTCAGAGACACTACTGCTCCCGGAATCAAATCGAGCACTGTCTGTGCTCTAACCTTGGAGTCACCAGCCTATCCTGTGATGACAGGAAAATTAACAGTGTTAACCAGGTACTTCTGGCTTGGGCAATCATGGGAAGTGACCTCATCTTGATCATTTTATCATACGCTTTTATACTTTATTCTGTGTTGAAGCTGAACTCAGTAGAAGCTGCATCCAAAGCCTTAAGTACCTGCACTTCACACCTCATCCTAATCCTTTTCTTCTATACAGTTGTCATTGTCATTTCTATCACTCATGGTGCGGGAATGAGAGTTCCCCTCATTCCTGTTTTTCTCAATGTGCTACACAACGTTATTCCTCCTGCCCTCAACCCCGTGGTTTATGCACTCAAGAACAAGGAGCTCAGGCAAAGTTTATTCAAGGTGCTTAGGCTGGACACCAAGGGATACTAAAGCAGAGACAAGGTTGCTAATAGTTAATTCCACATGCATTTGCACATTATGTTCTACAATTATAGCAAATGGCAGAAGAACTAAAAGCAGAGACACTTCCATCATTTCTTGTAGGATAAAGAATCAGTAGTAAAAACATAAGCTTCTGAACAAAGAGGTGGAACTAGTATTTGAAATCCTGTGAGTTCAAGCAAAAAATCTAAATCACAAGGAGTAACATAGTGATTATCATTGCCTCAGATATTCTACACATAAACAATTGGAGTATACCTTTTAATTTCTTACCTCCTTGCCTTCTCTAGAACTTTTAGTCATTGTTTAAAGAGAAGGTCAGAGAGGATAGTCTGCCATTCTATTCCTTTTAATTTGATAGTTTTGTTCCTTTACGTTAGATGTATTTTTGGTAGGGGAGGGCTTCTGCTATTTTGCTATTTGCTTTCTAATATGCCTTATTGATTTTTTTTAATGGGTGAAATAGAGATTTCTCTAAAGATATATGTGCAATTGACCAACAAATTCATAAAATGATACTCAACCTTATTAGTCATTTGTCAATAGGCATGTTCAAATCAAAACCATAGTAAGATAACACAATTTTCCTTAAAATCTTTAATTTTTAAAAAGAAGGAAGTTGTCAATGTTTTTTTTTTTTTTTTTTTTTTTTTTCTTTTGTCTTTTTCCGTGTCCAGCAATGGATCGCAACCCTCAGTGTCGCCCCCGTACCGGACCGGGGACCGGCAACAGGATCGCAACCCTCGGTGTTGCTCCCGCACCTCGCTCAGCCAGTGAGCGGGAACCGGTCTGTATGTGGGATCCAAACCCTCGGGCGGGAGCACCGCCGCGCTTCCCAAGCGGCGCACTATCCAGTGCGCCACCGGGCCGGCCCCAAGAAGTTGTCAGTGTTAACAAGGATGTGGATACATTGGAATCCTCCTAAAATGTTGTTGTGAATTTGTAATGGTACAATAGCTGTGGAAATTTTGGCAATTTCTGAAAAAGTTACATAATTACTAAATGACTAGGTATATACTCACATTAATGAAAACAGGTGACGTTTTCACAAATTTGACTCTGAATGTTAATAGGAAATGATTAGCCTAAAAGTAGAAATAATCTATATATCTATCTGTTACAGAAAATAAAATATATGTATAAAAGGGATTATTATTCTGTCACAAATAGAAATAAAGTACTAGTGTGAGCTGCAACATATAATTGAAAAAGTCAGACACAAAAGCTTATGTATCATTTCATTCATATTAATTTCCAGAATATGTAAGTCCACAGGCACAGAAAACAAATTAGTTGTTGCTAGGGGCTGGGGGGTACAGGATAATAAGGAGAAACTGATTGATTAATGGTTAGGGAATTTCCTTTCGTGGTGATGGAAATGTTCTGGAATTATATAGTGCGTAGTATTGTGTACAACATTGTGAATGTATCTAAAAGAGTAAGTCAGGTTCAGCAAGACAAATATGGCATGATCTCATGTATATGTGGAATCTAAAAATGTTGATCTCATAGATTTAGAGAGTAGAATAGTGGACACCAAAGGCTGGGAAGGTTAGGGAGGATGTTGGTTAGTGGGTACAAAATTACAGTTAAATAGGAGAAGTAAGCTCCAGTGTTCCATTGCACAGTAAGGTGACTATAGTTAGCAATAGAATATTGCACATGTCCAACTGGCTTGAAGAGAGGATTTTGAGTGTTTTCACCACAAAGAAATGATAAATGTCTGAGGTGATGGATATGCTAATTATCCTGATTTAATCTGTACACAATGAACACATGTGCTAGAAAATTACAATGTACCCCATAACTATGTTCAATAATAATTAAACGTATCAATTATTATTAATATGTATCAATTTAAAATGATAAATAAATAAATAAATAATAAAATGATTAGAAGGGTTTGTTTTATGGCATGTAATTTCTAACTCAATAAAAAAGTGAGAAAAAACTGTAATAAAAGTGTTCTCTAGTGCATATTCATTGCACCATTTCTTGTAAGATAAAAGAACTTACATGTCAAAGAACAGAAAATGTTAAGAATACTTGGTAAATGTATAATGCAGTTTTCTGTAATTATAAAAATACTAAAAAATCACTTTTTAAAATGGTAATGTCAACTAACAGTGATAGAATTTATGTTTTATTGTGGTGTTATAAGAACTTTCTGTCTAAGCATATATAGGAATTGTATATTAAAAATGTATCATTAGTTACCACAGCATTATAGAATTTAAGGGTTCTATTTATCTTTTTCATTTTTATGCTTCCAATTAACAAAATTATACAGGTAATACTTTATTATTTAACTAAAGGAATATAAACTTAGAATAATTCATTGTTTTTTTTATTATTGTGATTATCAGATCACCTAACTATGTCAAAATTTGGGCATCTAATTTTTCCTAATTTAATACTTATGCAAAAATAAGCCTGAATTTTTGATGAATTTTTACATTTGTTATGCAATTAAGTGATCCACTAACAAAGGCTTGATTTATCTGACATTCCTTTTTCCTCTTGCAGATTTTTAGTAACTTTAGGTATCAATTAGTAACTTGTCTGTCTTAGAAACAACAGCCTTGCTGTGTTACGATTCTTATCTTGCAACAGAGATTCAATAGCCTGGGGGAAATTTCCAGTCCTTTACAAGGTCAATATTTGAAACTGCAAGGCTTTGGAAAACCAGGCCCTGTGAGGCACATTTGCTTTATGAATTCTCTACAGTGATTAAGTGGATTACCCATTTTTAAATTTCCTACTGTGATTTAAATAATGTGAGGAAGGCAATTTCAGAATTTTCTATCATCATGTTTGTGAAAAATTGTGTCATATTTAGAACTGATGCAATTTGGTACAGTCAGTTTTAATTGCACTATGTGAAGCATTTCCTATATTGCTTCTCAAAAGTGATCTTGATTCAACATTTATTTTATTTGCTTTTTACTTTGACATTAATATTTTATCCCAAAGTTTGAGGTATGTTTGTATTGTTTTTGATTCCAAAAAACGCTTTGGGCATACTTTGTGTATGGTTTTCTTTGCACATCTCTTCATTGTGTGTATATGTACCTATATATACATAAACATACATATGTAAACACATATGTATACATATATGCAAAATCTTTGTAAGATATGACTATTTAATAGACTTTAAATAATTTATCTTTACTGACAAAACCAATATATTTGTTTTGCCTACCATCTTATTTTCTTCCCTGCACTTCTGAGATATTTATCTTATTAGAAATTTATGCTTAGTGATGATTTAAACAAAACATTTAATAATTCTGTTTATACTGTTTGTACTTTTTATATGCTTTCTAAGAAATAATATCTAGAGAGCAATGTAACAATTCTTCATGTCAGGGGCCGGCCCGGTGGCACACTGCTACAGTGTGCCACTTGGGAGTGTGGTGGCGCTCCCGCCGAGGGTTCGGATCCCACATACAGACCGGTTCCCACTCACTGGCTGAGCGAGGTGCGGACGCAACACCGAGGGTTGCGATCCCATTGCCGGTCCCAGTCCGGTACGGGCGCGACACTGAGGGTTGCGATCCGTTGCCAGACACAAAAAAAGAGACAAAAAAGAAAAAAACAAAACAATTCTTCATGTCTATTATGAAATTTTATTCATTTATTTATTCATTAATCTGATTCTATATTCAAAAATATTTAACATATGATATTTGCATACTTTATTGCTAGATGCTGCAAAAAATACATGAATACAATATGTTCAAATAAGAGTTGTGTTGAATTGTGGCTAATTTAAGAATATAAATAGGGATGGCTGGTTCTTTCACTTAGAGTGTGGTGTTGTGACAACAAGGTCTAAGGGTTTAAATCCCCAAACCAACTAGCCACCGAAAAACAAAACAGAAAAAAGAAGAATATAAACAGATTTTAGTAATACCTGGACATTAACATAATAAAAGGTATTGTTTCCATCAACAAACATATTCCTTACTTACAAACCTGGCACTTTTTAAAAATGTATTTTCTTGCAAAAGGACGTTTTTCAATCTTTTTCACGGCAGAGTAGTATTCCATGGTGTGTATAAACCACAGATCCCTTATACAATCATCCATCAATGGACAATTAGGTCGGTTCTTTGTCTCAGTTATTGTAAACAGAGCTGCAATGAGCATGGGAGTGCTGGTATCCCTTTGACAAGATGATTTCTATTTCTCTGGGTATATACCCAGAAGTGGGATTGCTGGATCATATGGAAGATCAATCTGTAATTGTTTGAGAACCCTCCATATGTTTTCCATATGGGAGCTAAGAGAGAAAGAAGGAAGGAAAGAAACATCACAGTAATACGTTGGACATGCAGAAGGACAGAACATTTCTTGGGCTTAAAAAGTGAAGTTGGGAGAAAGGGTGAGTGGGAAGGAGGTTGCAGAAAATTGGACGGAGGACATGGGGTACAAATGCAATTTGTGATAATGGCTATGCTGCCAGTATGAATCTGGACCTCACATCATGGGCACAAGGGATGACAATCAGCTTTGTACTTCATGAATATTCATAACCAACAACAAGAAAGAAAGAAAATATTAAATATTAAATACAATTAAAGGAAATTACAGTAAATCTAAAAGAATATGTAATTTCTTTAAAGAGAGAATGTGCTGGTTAGACTGAGGCTATCATATGGTGTTTTGTTCAATTTAATTTAATTTATTTTTTAAAAAATTTTATTTTATATTGTCAATATACAATGTGGTTGAATATTGTGACCCATTACCAAGACCTCCCTCCTTCCTCCCACTCTGCACTCCCTCCCAACAATCTCTTTTCTGTTCACTTCTGTTATCAACTTCAAGGAATTGTAACTGTTGAGTCTTATTCCCTCCCCTGGACCCCGCCAGGTTATTTGTGTATTTATTTATTTATTTTTAGCTCCTACAAATAAGTTAGAACATGTGATATTTCTCTTTCTATGCCTGACTTGTTTCACTTAATATAATTCTCTCTA